CTTTTCTCTTGTAGAGGCATGTATTTTTTTTATCGTACTTGTATTTCAATTTGACTGGGGGGTTTTTCCCTCCCCCTCCTTTAACAGATCTACTCTTCATTTTCTCAGGCTTACAGGAAATTATGCTGTTAGATGCAGATTTATATTTCAATCTGAGTCCTTGGTACACTGTCCCATCCACCTCTGGGCCTCTAAGACACCTCCCAAGATACTGATATTATTTTTTGCCATGCAGCCTGAACAATACCATACAAGGGCTCAGTTTTGGGGGTTTAACGCCTCCCCCGGCCACTCACCCTCTCCTGTGTGCTGTACCTGCTGCTGCCATCAAAAGTTTCTTTACTTCCCGAATTACGTTAGCTGCCTTTTAGCGTTTAGCATTAGGGAGGTCCCAGGCCTGGTGGTCCTTCTCCCAGGGACACTGCTTTACAGCTCTTAGCCGGCTCCATGGTGCTTTCCCCCCTCGCATCGCAAACAATTCCCGCTCACACTCTGATCCTAGCAGAGCCTCCACCACAATAGTGGAAAGGTACGAGCTTGGGGCCCATGGGAAGGTGTAGCGGAGCTCCGTCCACCTGGTTCCAGCTCTCGGCTCCCATGCTTTGCTGTCCGGTCACCTGACCTATCATTCGGGTCCTTCCGGTCTTTTCCGCTGTCCTCCCAGGTCCTTCCTCTGATAACAGGTGGCGGCACCGGCACTATGCACCTGAACGGCTCTCTCCACTCACTGGGACCACCGACCACAGTGGACCTTACACACCCAGGACACCCAGCAGCCACACGGTAAACAGCACACACAGGCAGGCACATAACGGGGTCAGGTGAGCACCATCTTCGGCAGGTGCAGGAGTTCCTAAGCAACGCCGCTAGTGAGCACCATGTTCACACCCCTCCCCCTTGGACTATATGAGGTTCCCACATTTTCTGTGCTGAGTTCCCACATTCCCATTCTTTATTTTAAAAAATGAGCAGTCGTGTTTACAGACACACACTGGTTCCACAGTATACCGAGGTGTATACAGAGAGAGCCAGGATATACCCAAATAAAACTTGCAATTGAAATTCACTAAATATTTCTAGTTGAACCAACACAAAATGTGGAAAGTCTCACTGTTTGCTTTCTTTAGATAGCATCCACAGCCTTACTAGAAAAGTCTGTCCCCTGACAGCAAGCTGTAGAAGGACCCTTGTTATTGGCACTGAAGCAATGGTCTCTCTGTAGAGGTCTAAAACACCTTTGCTAAAGCTTCTTACTCAGCACAGAGCATGGACTTTGCTGATTGTAGAGCTATTTTATCTGTATTGTTTTGATATGCCTGGAATGTATTTTGAGGATTTAAACTTTAATCACTTGCCAATTGCCTTAGATTTATGTAGGCACTTTCAGTGGTTATACCAGGATGATGCCTGCAGCTTCAGGCATCATCCCAGTATTTTGTTTTTTTAGGGCTGGTGATTCTACTTTATGTAAAAGCCATCCTAGTGACTAAAGAATTTGAAATAATCCTCCCTCCGCCCTGTGGTGTCTCTCTGGGCTATACTGTCCCAATGCTTACCATAGAGCAGATTGGAAATGGGAATGTCCCCGATCATCTCTATGGTATAACGAAACCAGAAACGACGAGTATGCTGTCACTTCCGGTTTCAGACGCTTGTTTACTGGCCATTGCGAACAAGGGAAAGCTTCGCATCGAACCATTCCGAGTTTGATCCGAAGCTTCCAAGGGTAGATGAGAAAGTTGGGGTCTACTAGACCCCAGATTTCTCAGTAAAGAGTACCTGTCCCTTCTTTTTGTTACCACAAGGGATGTTTGCATTCCTTGTGATAACAATAAGTGATAAAAATAAAAAAAATGAAAGGGACATTCTGCTTGCATGCAAAGGTGAACACTTTCATAGGTAGCGCACGCACATGTAAACGGCGTTCGCACCACAAACGTAAGATATCGTCACAAACATTATAGCGAGAGTAATAATTCTAGCACCAGATCTCCTGTGTAACTCTAAACTGGTAACCTATAAAGGCTTTTAAAGCATCACCTATGGAGATTTGTAAGTACCATAGTTTGTTGCTATTCCACAAGTGTGCACAATTTTAAAGTGTGACATGTTGGGTATATATTTACTTGTTGTTACAACATATTTTATTTAATACTAAACAATTGGGTGTTTTTGTTTTTTTTTTTTAAAGAGTAGAGTGGGAAGGATTATATGTCTTTAAGTTTTTAATCTTCTGACAACACACTGTAAAATTGAAAACGGATAGCAATAAGGTAAAAAGGAAAGGAAATATGCGCTAGTTTTAAAGGAAAAAAGCCCCAATATAGCAGCTAGCACAATATCCTGATACCAGACATTCAAAACGTATTTCAAAAATATGCAGTGCATAAATAAAAATGTACTGTGAGAAAAATATATATATATATATATATATATATATATATATATATATTGTGTAATTTCAGATTATATCTTCACAGAATATGTCACATATATTCAACAGAACAACATGTATAAAATTCCCTGTAAAGGAAGCAATTTTTTCTTACAAGTGCAATTCCAGATATTACCTCCTCAAAGTATGCTTTATGGATTCTCAACCCCGTTTGGGATTTTTAAGGTGTTAATAAAAAACAATATATCAAGGATAAAATACCATTTATTTTATTACAAAAAGTCAGAAAAATAAAACATTTTAAATATGTGTATCACTTCAAGCACATGACCACAGACTAAGATAAAATTGTTTGCTGTTACAAAATTACAAGCTACAATAAAATGCAGACATTCATAGTAAAAGTAACATGTTTCATATAACATACAACGACAACAGAGAATTGTACATCCATTTAAATTTGATGAAAGGTATCTTACCAACAACAAGTTTGTATTATTGAATAGACACCTGCATAGGTGTGATGAATAAACCCACCCCACATGCACCTGTTCACAGTCCTGGGCAGTAATTAGTAAACCACAGGAGGAATATAAGGGACACAGAAGACAAAGTGAAACTGAAACAAATTAAAAAGAAAGATGCGTATAAATTATCGATCACCAAAAATATTAGTTTGTTATGGGTGATTTTGTTACCTATTATTAGGGGTTAATACATACCCTATAAATAAGGACTCGGATAATAAATGATTTCATAACACCACGTGGGTTGTAAAAGTAGGAGATTATCTCATGTATCCAGAAAGGCATAATTGGAATCTCATCCCAAAGATTTAAATACTTCAGACCCCCTAGAGTTTCACAGAACTGTCCAGAGGACCCACCTATGTGTGAGCTACAAAAATGAACTCGTAAATGCCCATTAAAACTCAAAAACAAAGTTACTTTGTGGCCAATATAGGTTAGGATCACTTGCATAAAGCATGATGGAAAATTGTCTAATGCAGTGCTTCAGGTCCATGTGTGAACATTGCCATCAGACGCACATCCTTTTATACCCCTTCCGCATGTGACGTCACTGGAGGGACGTGGATGCAAATGACATCACCGTGCATGTGCAGCTCTCCCCCCACCGCTCCTACGTTACATGCATGCATGTATTGCACTCGTCATCTTGCTCCTGAATTACACCCAACCACACATTAGAGCCAGAAAGGCAGGGACCCAAGAACGTGGTCGCAAACCCATGCTTCCCCTACTGGACAGATGGAATACAAAATAGTTCTATATGGGTGAAAATGGGGAAAATCATTTTCTCACCACATACCCATATATTACTCACCTCCAACAAGAAATCGATGGACTGGGCACCATAGGCCACATCGGCAAAGGCAGCAGCATAGCACAAAGTACCAGAATACTTTATCCTGTGTCTCCTAATTAACTCCACCTTCACAGCAGGAGAAAAGGGGAGCATCTGTCACCTTGACAGTAGGACACATACAGTAATAACCTTACAGAAGTTCTTACCTTTCCCTCTTTCACTAAAAAGGTGTTTTATTTCAGTGTGTCCCCACTGGAGAGACCTAGTTTTGTATTTAGTGGCTTTAATGTGTTCCTGAAGTAGAATTCTAGGCACAACCTAGCTAGTCTTAAACCCACCCCCCCCCCCCACTGCCACCCTAACACCCATTCTGACTAAACTGTGTGAAAAAGATCTGTATACTTATTTTCAGGACGGTCTGGTCATGTGATCTCCACTGTGCCAGCCAGCACCAGCTGCAGAGGAGAGGAGAGAGCACTTGACAACTGCTGGTAATGAGAGCTGTAACATCACCCATTGGCTCATATAGCCAATTCATTGTCGGTGCTCCCTCCTCTCTCCTGAAATGGCTGCTAGCTGACACAGGGGAGCCAGATCATAACTGTACAGGGCTTTTTATACAGGTTTGTCAGAATAAGTTTTGGATGGGGGAGGGAGCATTTTTAGGAGTAGTTAGGTTGTCCCTGGAATTCTACTTTAACCTTCTCCTCTGTTCTTACATTGAATAGTTCTTTTATCAATTACAAAATGAGTTAATGTAATCTAGTTTGCTTGTTTACCACCAAAATGTAAGATTAAAAGCTATGCCTTGAGTTGTTGAAGTAGAAATGTACTCTATAGTAAATACTTGTGAACTGGAAATTTTTAACTTTTGGAATGTTAAGCAGTAGAATTTCTGTCTGAAAGCACTGGAGTTCATGTACATTACTGACTTTAAGGACATGGACTGTGAGAGTATACAAGACCTCTACACTTTTAAAACTTAAATATATTCTAGCTCTTTGTGTTCGGGTGTTTCCTTATTCTTCTCATGGGAAGGTACATAAAACACAAAGAATGAGAATATGGATTCTTTTTGATGTGTCCATAGCAGCTTCTTCTGCGTAATAGCTGTATTGTAGCACATGGTGAACACATGGTGTAAGGTGATGCAGATCTTAAGGTTCTTCAGTTCTGAATATAAATATAATCACATTAATAGTAAAGTAATTTGGTTATGGTTATATGTTACTGTGAGGCATGCAAAACAGCTGGATTTTTTTAACTTTTGTGTCTTCAGGAATGCTTCTGTGGTAGTTCAGTATCTGTCCCAGAAATTGAAGGGGTCCTTTGGTTAAAGGATGATGGAAAAAAATCCTGGAAAAAGCGCTATTTCCTACTTCGAGCATCTGGTATCTACTATGTACCTAAAGGAAAGGCGAAGGTAATGTAGTATTTAACAGTATGCTCACAAGATTGAAAACAACCCCTATGTACAGTTATAAGAAAACTTTGGCACCCCTAGTCAAATTATATATTGTGTTAATTTCCTGTCCTGTTCCTGTGTGTGGTAGGAAAAGTAGGCCTTAACGCACAGACGTCACACCTATGCATACAGCTCTTAGTTTCGGCTTCTGATCAGGGGGCAGCAAGGAAGGCTTCTGATCTTGTGACCACTGTGAGAGCCAATCACAGAGTTCAGGTAATTGGGAAGCCACTCTACCACCTGACATTAAAGCCCAGTTAAATGGCTGCAGGGAGGCAGCATGAAGGGATTAAAAGGCATGTCTAGCAATTTGCTTTTATTTTCTTTACTGTTTTAGGAGCTCACCTGCAGAAGCTTAAATGACTTTGCTGAATAACACAGAAGAGGGGCATACCTCCTCCCTCTGCTCTGCCAATATACCCCATATAAAGTGTCAGTTTTGCAAATGTAAAGTGAGCAGTCCATGCTTATTTCTCCCATGTCAAAGCAGCAGCAAGTTTAGTGAGCTGTTATTATTGTCCAGGTAAAACTAGTGATAAAACAAAATGATGGTTGTAGTGTCTAAGTCCACCGGTGTTTCTTGCCTCACTTGTGACAGATTCACTTTAATTTATGCTCATAAAATGTTTCCATTGCTAGGCTGAACAGGACCTCCAGAATATCATTGGGTGACAGCCTATTGTTTTGCTGTGCATGTTAGTAAGTGTTGGTAGTAGTTTTCAGCATGTGAAGTGATATCACTGGGATACCAAGTACACGTAAAAGATTTTAGCAAATGTGATATACATGCAGATAAATTCTTCAGACCATCCAGTACCATGGTAAGTGTTATTTATACATGACATGCCTGCAAATAAAAAAATCCTTCTCATTTAGATTTGAAAACATCTATCTTAATTGTACAATGCAGAACACAGGCAGAATATTCATACAATATGAGTTATAGGCATGTACTTTCAGGTGATTGGACACTGGCAAAACTTTAAGATATATGCCCCTGCGTGCATCCCCTATAATCCTACCCCATTCCATGAGTCCTCAGTTTTGTGCTAGTGTCTGAAGGTGATGGATCTTTTCTCCTTCACAGAGAAAATCATCCATGGTTTATCTAGTTTATTATTTTTGATTGTTATTTTATTTTCCAATTCTTCAATCAATCAAATCCTCACTGTCTTAAACTGGCATCATAGAAACAGTATATATGGATCAGCACAACCTTGATAAAACCTTGGGAGCCATACTCAGACCCCACGCTGTGGGGATGGTCTGTATTGTTGCTTTGGGCACTGTATCCTGCTTTGACACTCACTTTGGCACTAGGTGCAAAGTGTTGAGTTAGCCAAAGGTGGTAAAGACCTATCGTTCTGGAACCCAGTCCCTAAAAACCCCTTTTGAGAGTATGCCCATTGCGATGGACGAGCCTGGACTTTATTTATAGCACCACGGGCCGGTAAGACTGACCGTTTCTGTAAAAAAACAGGACTATGTTTGGACTGTCTTCACCTACAGGATGAACACCTATAAACTTGCCACTAGAATTTAACAGCTCAGTCTCAGTTGGATGACCAGGTGTTACCACTGGTAGCACTCTTTTAATGTCACTTCCACCTAGAGCCCATGTAATGTATTCAGGCACTTTCACCATGAGGATTTGTTACAAAACGGTGTACACCTGGGTTACTGCATACTCCTTTCAGTCAAACTTTACCCTATTCTCTTCACCCTATTCCATGAGTAAACCATATGGGAATACCCTCACTTGTAGCTATGGGAATCAATGTAAAATCAGAGGTGAACATTCACTTTGCCCAAGACCCACACAGCACTCAACCTCAAAGTGACAATGTGCCTTTCACCGGAGCAAGAACCGGCTCTAATACCAGTTTTCACATTCAATTCTACCTTTATTTCAGGCACATAAGCAACCTAAAAGCAGTTTTTTCTGCATCTGTGTCCCATTTCCTTGGACAGATTATGGCTTTAATACAGCTATTTCCGTCCAGAACCCAAAAACGCCAAACTCATCTCATCTTACATCTCCTAATGAATTGAAGTGGATATTGAGGCAGTATTGAAAGAAGCTGCGGAAGATTTTTCTCCCTCAGATGGTCATTTTATTGAATAAGGAGCTTCCCCCCCCTAACAAGCTTGCCAACGTTGAAAAGCTCATTGCCTCTGTTCACAAAAGCTTTAGCATTGTGTAAACTGAGTCTCCTCTGTTTTGCCATGTCCCTTTGGGTACAAAGAGACCTACAAAACACTTTGCAACATTCCTTGTTCATGAACAGATAAAATGTGTACTCTGTGACAACTACGTTACCACCTTCCCTAGCATTACATAGGTTGTTTTCTTGAATAACGGGTAAGGTATATTATTTCCCACACTTTCTAATACCATTTGACAAGTGTTAGTACAAAAGCAAGTATAATCATTTTTTGAATAATAAGAAAAGACACACTATTAGCATAGTTCAAAACGTTCTATTAAATAGCAGGTCACATAACAATTTCAAGGTAAAACATAACTGTTTTGGTATGCAGGTTCTGACAAGCTTTACAAACCTATTGATTGGTACATGGAATAAGTATCAGTATTAATGTTTTGAAAGGATGTGGTAAAGTAGTAAGATAACTGCAGAACCTGAACTGTAAGCAATCTCTGTTTTGCTTTGAATGTAATGATTGGAAAAAGTTGTAAAATTACAATGAAAAAAGTCCACCATTGCACGATGGATACAAAATCTGATTGCAGAAGCCTACATTCTCAAAGTGAAATCTCTTGAAATCTCTTTGAGAATGTTGTTGGGTCTATTAGCACAGTTCTGTTTGCCTCATTGTTGCCCACTCTTCCTGTCCATTACTTGGAAATGTTCCCGATGTATTAATATTCTTTCTGTGTCCTGTACTGCCCAAAAAATATATAAGGCATTTTGAATTGCCTATAAATGCCATATCTTGGAGCACAGTACAGGACACAAGGCACCCTCCCTTCCATTCCCTGGCTTACTCTCCATTGCTATCTACAAACCTCAGAGTGGTTTGTAGTTATAGGGGAGGTGCCAGTGTCCAAACACGCCTATAAGTGGTGTATGAATATTCATGCCTGTATCAAAATTCCTCTTTTTGCCTTTACTGACTCAGAACGCGCTCCCATAGACGGCAGAGCGTTGCCTTTCTGAACATTATTAGTAGTAAATAACATGAAGAAACGGATAAAAGAATGACAGATTACATTGTTAATACTAAACTAGAAATATCTGAATCCTTCTTATTTTCAGGCATCTAGAGACCTTGTCTGTTTTCTTCAACTGGATCATGTTAATGTTTACTATGGTCAGGAGTATCGCAGCAAATACAAGGCACCCACTGACTACTGCCTGGTGTTAAAGGTAAGCCTTTAGTTATAATGACTTGGTAAACTGAAGTGTTTTTAAGGAAGGTTTACAATGCACACCAGCCAGCTTGCAACAAACCAAATTAATCTGTCCAACAGTTCATGGTAAAACAAAGGGTTTAGTGTGCACACATTTGCAAGTATATACGTAAGCTGCAGGTACCACATCACTACACCCCAGCATACTTCAGTTCTAAATCTATAAATATTGAGAGTCTCCAAAGTTGTAGCACATATATGATAATTGATAGATTAAGGTCAGGTATGCCTAGAGGCAGCCCACACCTCCTTAAAGGTATAGGGATGCACTGGACACCCAGCAATAGCACAAGGGCAGAAAAGGTATCCAGTGCATCCCCTCACCAATTCACCAACAGTACAAACCAATGGTGTCTCCCTTCCATGTGCTCCTTACTGCAAAGGCCAGTTATAGTTTGGGGTAGTTGCCAATTGTTTGTACTGTCGGTGATTTGTGACGCATAAAACCTAGAGTTTTATGCAGGGATCAGAATATTCTCTTTACAGCCTATGGAAATGTATTTGGTCACTTTTGTGTTGGAGTGATGATGACAAGGCTTGGCTCTGGAACTCAGACCTGGCTTCATGACTTGGAGCTGTAGAGGAGAGCAATCAGATTTTTGTGGGGTTAAACTCCGGAGCTAGAGCTAAGTTGTAAGAGATGAACTCCAAAGATTGGAGCTTACATATTGCAGGTCCTCCCATCAGTGCTACTCCCTTGACTTTTATACATTTAAAATAGCTTAGGGTAGTGTGCAGATCATTTTGAAGTAGCAGATAAACTGTATTTCAATAAAATATCTGAATAACTGGAATAAAAAACTGTTTTAATACTGTTCTCAAAATTACAGTCTATTATGAACTCTTAATGCATGTCTTTTTATTTTTATCTGCTTACCTTGTCAATTCTATGGTGTATCTGCTTACTTTCATAACCCCACCATTTCTACAGTTTATTTACTTTCATAACTCTACCATTTTCACTGCTTACTTAACGTTATAACTCCATCATTTTTACTTTTCATCTGCTTAACCTGCATAACCTTACCATTTTTGTACTGTTATCTAAATACTTTTAGGGTTCCTATACACAGCGCTTTTACTGGCATTTTATGCATCTAGTATATCCCAGTCCTTTCCTGCATATCGAGAGCCACACATGCCGTGTACAGCCTACCATACAATTAAGAGCTGTACATGGCCATGCTTTTGTTTTCACATGTATGACAGATTGTATGCTGCACATAGGACTTCCTGGGTGCAGGTAAATACCTGAAAATCATGCTAGGTATAAAATACATGTAAAAGCCATGTGTGCATGAACTCTTAAAACTCCTCCTCTACTGTTTATATACCGTGCATCCAGAAAGTATTCGCAGTGCTTAACTTTTGACACATTTTGTTATGTTACATCCTTATTCCAAAATGGATTAAATTAATGTTTTTCCTCAACATTCTACAAACAATACCCCATAATGACAACATGAAAGAAGTTTGTTTTGAAATCTTTGCAATTTATTAAAAATTAAAAAAAAAAACACATCTACATAAGTATTCACAGCCTTTGCCATGACACTCAAAATTGAGCAGTTAACAGTCCATGTTAGAGCACAAACCAAGCCATGAAATCCAAGGAATTGTCCGTAGACCTCCGAGGCAGGATTGTATCAAGGCACAGATCTAGGGAAGGGTATAGAAAGATTTCTGCAGCATTGATGGGTCACAGTGAGCACAGTGGCCTCCATCATCCATAAATGGAAGAAGTTTGGAACCACCAGGAATCTTCCTAGAGCGGGCCGCCGGCCAAAATGAGCGATCGAGAGAGTAGGGCCTTATCCAGGGAGGTAACCAAGCACCCGATGGTCACTCTGAAAGAGCTCCAGCGTTTCCCTGTGGAGAGAGAAGAACCTTCCAGAAGAACAACCATCTCTGCAGTACTCCACCAATCAGGCCTGTATGGTAGAGTGGCCAGACGGAAGCCACTCCTCAGTAAAAGCCAAATGGCAGCCTGCCTGGAGTTTGCCAAACGGTACCTCTCAGACCACAAGAAACTAAACTCTCTGGTCTGATGAAACAAAGATTGAACTCTTTGGCCTGATTGCCAAGCATCATGTCTGGAGGAAACCAGGCACCGCTCACCACCTGGCCAATACCATCCCTACAGTGAAGCATGGTGGTGGCAGCATTATGCTGTGGGGATGTTTTTCAGCGGCAGGAACTGGGAGACTAGTCAGGATCAAAGGAAAGATGAATGCAGCAATGCACATCTAGATAAAACCTGTTCCAGAGCGCTCTGGACCTTAGACTGGGGTGACGATTCATCTTTCAACAGGACAACGACCCTAAGCACAGGGCCCACATAACAAAGGAGTGGCTGCGGGCTAACTCTGTGAATGTCCTGGAGTGGCCCAGCCAGAGCCCAGACTTGAACCCTTTTGAACATCTCTTGAGAGATCTGAAAATGGCTGTGCATCGACGCTCTCCCCATCCAACTTGTGGAGCTTGAGAGGTACTGCAAAGAAGAATGGGAGAAATTGCCCAAAAAAAGGTGTGCCAAGCTTGTAGCATCATACTCAAAACAACTTCAGGCTGTAATTGGTGCTAAAGGTGCTTCAACAAATAATTGAGCAAAGGCTGTGAATACTTGTGTACATGTTTTTTTTTTTTTTTTTTTTTTTTGTTTTTTTTTAGTTATTAACAAATTGAAACAATTTCAAAACGAACTTCTTTCACGTTGTCATTATGGGGTATTGTTTGTAGAATGTTGAGGGAAAAAATTAATTTAATCCATTTTGAAATAAAATGTGGCAAAAGTTAAGCACTGTGAATACTTTCTGGATGAACTGTACTGTCATGTGTGCAATGTCTGAAAATGGAAATGGACAATGAAGTTTTGTTATGCTTGTCTAATATTTCTGATGATTCAAATATATCCCATTCTTTCAGTAAAAGAGAAAAATGGTCAAGAACGTTTTTATTAACCACTTGCCCTCCAGAGGATTTACCCTCCTTCCTGACCAGGCCATTTCTTGTGTTACGGCGCCGCGTTACTTTAGTCATGCAGTGCTGTACATAAATTAAATTTAAATACTTTTTTACCCCACAAATAGAGCTTTCTTTTGGTGGTATTTGATCACCTCTGCCGTTTTTATTTTTTGCGCTATCAACAAACAAAAAAGACCATTTGGAAAAAACAATGTATATTTTTTACTTTTTGCTATAAAACATATCCAGTAAAAAATGTAAAAGCTCTAATTTTTTCATAAATGTAGGCCAAAATGTATTCTGCTACATGTCTTTGATAAAAAAAAAAAAAATAGATGTACATTATTTAGTTTACGTGAAAGTTATAGCGTCTGCAAATGGAGATATATATATATATATATATATATACTGCAATTTTTATTTAAAAATTTTTTTATACTAGTAATGGCGGCAATAAGCGACTTATAGCGGGACTGCAGCGGGCATTCTGACACTGGGTGGGAACTAACTGCCACTGACATCCCAATTACACTAATACAGTGATCAGTGCTAATAAAAAGCACTGACACTGTACTTATGACACTGGGCAGGAAGGGGTTAACATCTGGGGTGATCAAAGGCTTAACTGTCTGCTGTTTTACATAATGTGCTGTGTGTTTTACTAGGGAAACATGCTGCTGTGTATTTCTCTGCTGTGCTAGAAAGATGACACTTAGAAAACTTTACTGTGCTAGGCCAGACCTGTTCTGGAGCTTAAGTAGTCATTTCTGGAGGCAGCTGGGGTTAGAGTTGAAGGTTTGTTCAGGCTCTGGACTGCGAGTGAGAGTCTTGCTGAGTGGGATTTTAAGACATCTTTTGGCTTTTACTGACTCTTCCCATGGACAGTATAGTGTTGGCCTTCTGAGCCTCATCAGCATGGTACTGGAAAGTAGCTAATGACAGTGCCAATCCTACTTCAGAATCTTATGAAATGGGAATATTTATTAATCGTGTAAACTTAAACCATTGTTGGTTTGTTTTTTGTTTTTTTTGCGCCTGCTTCTATTCCTGCACTGCCATCCAGTGGCCTGCTGCTAAAGTGTAACTCTTAACAGATTCCCTGGCATAAAGCAGTCTGTGGGAGTTTTAGAGCAATTAGTTTATTTTTAAATATTATAAATGTAAAAATATTAAACACATCCACATTCTAGAAAAGGATTTTATATATATATATATATATATATATATATATATATATATATATATATATATATATTTATTTATATATCTCTCTCTTGCTAATGAAAATACATTTCAGATATAGCATTAGACTGTACTTCAAAAATACTTTACACTTGCAGTTGGGATAGTCCTTATCTTTGATTCATCCTTTTTCACCTATGATTTCATCTGCAGCCTGTTTGCTGCAAATACACACCTATTTCTGGTATGTCTTACTCTTTGCGTCCAGTAATCCAGATTGTACAGACTAAACAAGGATGGTTTAAAAATTAACTTTCTTATGTTTGAAACATTGATATTTTTAAGGCTTCATTCTGAGCTGTTGCTAGATTAACCGTATATATCCAAAACAAATGGTGAATACATTTTGAACATATAGACCATTGATGCTTTTTTGCTTTACAACTGTGCATCTAGTATTAAATATTGATATGTCTGTTCATTGTTTTACAGCATCCTCAAATTCAGAAAAAGTCCCAGTATATCAAGTATCTGTGCTGTGATGATGTCCGAACTTTACACCAGTGGGTTAACGGAATACGCATAGCAAAGGTAATCTCTCTCACATTCCTTTTTTTGCCTATACAATAGGAACACATTCATCTTACATGAGGCCAGGGGCCTTTGTGTTCAACACATTGTCTACATCTGGTTACTCAGCCTTGGTCTGTTTTACTGTCAAAGAAAGGAAGAGTGATCAGATTCCTTACTGCACATTCATTAGATGTCTTGTCAACTGCCAGATCTAAGGATAAAAACAGACAAAACTAACATCAAAAGGAGCAGTAAAGGTCATAATGGTGATCTGTCCAAGTCTGGACAAGTTACTGAGTAAATGAGAATGTAGTGATCCTATGAACAATACCAGAAGGTTTTGACATTGATCCAGTGATGCTGTAATTAGTTGTTTCTTCCAGCAAAAAAAAACAACACACCCTGTAAAAACCATTAGAGGCATCTGATCTCTGAAACTGCCCGAAGTCTGGTATACAAAAAGAAAAAAAAAAAAAAGACCGCGTAGGGAGTTACTGTCTGTCTTTTAGAGTGTTTCACTTCCAATGCAGTAGGTGTTTATTGACTTCTGGAACATGTACATGTACAGATGCTGCTCTTGTGGGATTTAGTCAGCCATACAAGTGTCATCTCTGTGCTGTACGCTATAATTAAAAACCTGACTTGCGCACATACTAGGCACCCGTATACAAACTAAGCACAGAGTAGCACATGTTCTAACCATGTTAGGAGCGTATTTAATAACAAAATAATAAATCTTTTATACAGTGCTTAAAAAATATTAGATTATATATTTCATGATCTCACAGTACAGGACATGTGCTTTTTTAGGTCATTACAGCTGAGTTATAAGCAGTTTCTTTTAGGTGTTTGGACACTTGCAGAAAATGAAAGGCTACAGAGATATCTTCTTGTATAACACACACTCCCATGCAGCCTTGTTTTTTTGCAAGTGCTTTCTCTCTCACAGGATGATTTTCACCAAGACGATTATTTCATCAAACTGCTTAGCCACTGGGCCTTGAGGCCAGGACCTTGAAGCCAGGATGGGGTTAACTTCCCCTAATAAAAAATGTTGGCGAGATCTTAGTATTGGTTAGGCACTCAAAAAGTGTGTAGGACATGACAAATAAAATGCATTTGTCTCTTCTAGTATGGGAAGCAGCTCTACATTAATTATCAAGAGGCTTTGAAGAGGACAGAGGCAGCTTATGATTGGACATCCCTATCTAGTTCCAGCATGAAATCTGGATCCAGCTCTTCCAGTTTACCAGGTAAGTCTGACGATTTTGAATTAAGCCAGGATCTTAACACAGCACTGGAGCTCTGAACCACATTATTTAGGTAAAATGGAAAATGTTCTACTTTTAACTTATGGGGTATGCTGAATTCTTCCCTTTATTTCTTCCATTTAATAATTAGTACCTTCAAGAAATATAAAGACTGATGTGAAAGAAATATTTTTCAACTTCATGGTAACTGAAGATTTGTCATATATTTATGATTGTTTTATTAAAAGTAAAAATTACTCAGAACTAAGATTCAGTTTTGGGTGGATGGAAAGAATAATATGCTTGAAAAGGAGCTTCATCTACTTTCTAAACTTTGTGGTTCTGCTTTCTGTAGCAGCCATTATAAAACCATATAAAGGAGTTTTACTGCTCCTACTGTTTTCTGTGTGACTAGCCTTAAACCACATAACTGGGCATAGATAAATTTATATACCGTACGTCTCTGTATTACTTGCTCATTTCTACGTTTTATCAGTTTAAAAATGCTGCAAGTACAAATAAAATGCCTGTTGATCTTCATGTAGTGAGCTGACAAAGCACTCTTTATGTTATGGAGACAAGGTGTTCTGAAGCCCAAAAGGTAGAAACAATGCCTAAAGTATACGTTCACCTTTGGGAACATGTTACATGTTCCACCCATTTCTAGGGTGGAACATGTAACATGTTCCCATAGCTGCAGCCACGCTGTGGAGTGCCGTGGTAATTCATTCATTGAATCTTCCTGTCAGAATATCTGCTTGCTCGTACCTCCCGTTCAGCAAGCAGATATTCTGACAGGTCTGCAGGAGACCTGCATGGCATCAGTGATCTACTAATCACTGGTACAATGCTTTCTAGGCTTCTTTGGACAAAAATAATAAATGCACATTTTTTTACCTGCAAAAAAAAGTGCATTTATTATTTTTGTACAAAAGGTCAACTTATCCTTTAATTGGGATTTCAATGCAATACAGACATTAGAAGCTCACTGCATTTCTGGCACTATCAGTTACCAGACTCAATCACTGTCAGGTATAGGAGGGGAGAAGATGAATAACCCTATATAAAGTCTGATACTGACCAACATAGAGCTAACATAGGGTTTACACCCACTACTCTAACAGGGAAGCAGAGCTGGGGGGGACCACAAGGTAAGCCACAAGTGAGTTTTAGTGTGTGAGGGAGGGGATGTTGAGTTTTCTAAATAATTTGTTACTTTGCCCATCCAGGGCAACATGACTGATCTTCTTAAATGCAAGGTGGATTCAAGGTGGATTTTGAGCTGTACTAAAGCACCACTAGGACAGAGGGAGTATGAGTCAGTCAACAGCATGTGTAGCTATATCTCCTCAGCATTTCTCTATCCAACAAGATGAAAACTGTTGATCTTGCTTGACACTTGTCACCTTCTGTGTTTGCAGGTAGTAAATCTAAATAATTTTACACTGTTTGCACAATTATTAGGCAAATTAGTATTTTGACCAAATTGTCTAACTCCAAGCTGTATAAACTTGAATGCTTATTTGATTAAGCATATCAATCAGGTGATGTGTATTTGTGTAATGAGGGAGGGTGTGGCCTAAGGATATCAACACCCTCAATAAAGGTGTGCATAATTATTAGGCAGGTTCTTTTGCCTCAGGCAAAATGGGACAAAAAAGAGATTTAACTGACTTTGAAAAGTCAAAAATTGTAAAAAGTCTTTCAGAGGGATGCAGCACGCTTGAAATTGCTAAGATATTGGAGCGCGATCACAGAACCATCAAACTTTTTTTTTTTTGCAAATAATGAAAAGGGTCGCAAGAAACATGTTGAGAAAAAAAAAAGACGCAAATTAACTGCCAAGGATTTGAGAAGAATCAAACAGGAAGCTATCAGGAACCCATTATCCTCCAGTGCTGTCATATTCCAAAACTAAAGGAAAAAAGGGGGGTGCCACCTAAGTGCAGTAATTAAAAGCAGTGGGTTTATTCTTACAGATTAAAAACACTCACAAGACAGATGATAGTGTAAAGCTCATCTGATTTTGCAGTAGAAGTCACTCTCTCCTTCTTGCAGGGAACCGCCAGCCAGGATTCCTAGGTGTAATCAATAGAATGTCTTGCAGAGTCAAAGTCCACGCCAACCAGCATTTTTGTTGCAAATAGTCAACAGGGTCGCAAGAAACGCATTGAGAAAAAAGGCACAAATTAACTGTCAAAGATTTAAAGAGGAGCTCCACCCAAAAGGGGAAGTTCCGCTTTAAGGACTGCTTCCCCGCTCCCCATTAAGGATTGTCACCCGAATTTGACAGGTACCCACTTCCAGTCTGATCACCTGATGGGCAGTGAAACGGGCTGCGGGGGACACAACAAGGGACAGGTAAGCGGCTGTTTTTTAATAGTCAGCAGCTACAGTTTTGTAGCTGCTGACTTTTATTTTTTGACAGTGTGAGTGGAACTCTGCTTTAAGAAGAATAAAACATGAAGCTACCAGAAACTTGTTATCCTCCAGTGCTGTCATATTCCCAAAACAGCAACCTACCTGGAGTGCCTAGAAGTACAAGGTGTTCATTGCTCAGAGACATAGCCATGGTAAGGTAGGCTGAAACCCGACCACCACTGAACAAGACACATAAGTTGAAACGTCAAGACTGGGCCAAGAAATATCTGAAGACAGATTTTTCAAAGGTATTATGGACTGATGAGATGAGAAATGACTAGTGACGGACAAGATGGGGTCATGGCAGGATCTGTAACGGACACAGAGCTCTGCTTTGACTCACACACCAGCAAGTTGAGGTATTGGTATGGACTGGTATTATTAAAGATGAGCTAGTTGGATCTTTTTGGGTTGAAGATGGACTCAAAATCAACTCCCAATTCTACTGCCAGTTTTTAGAAGACACTTTCTTCAAGCTGTGGTACAGGAAAAAGACTGCATCTTTCAAGAAGACCATTATATTTATGCAGGACAATGCTCGCATGCATCAAAAAACTCCACTGCATGGCTAGCCAGTAAAGGCCTTAAAGATGAAAGAATAATGACATGGCCCCCTTCCTCACCTGACCTAAACCCTATTGAGAACTTGTGGGCCCTTCTTAAATGGGAGATTTATGGTGAAGGAAAACAGTACACCCCTCTGAACAGTGTCTGGGAGGCTGTGGTTGCTGCTGCACTAAAAGTTGATTGTCAACATATCAAGAAACTAACAGACTCCATGAATGGAAGGCTTATGACTGTTGTTGAAAAGAAGGGTGGCTATATTTGTCCCTGTTTTTTTTTTTTTTTTTTTTTTTTTTTTTTTTTTTTTTTTAAATGTCACAAATGTTTATTTGGAGTTTATTATTCTCACTTTAACAGATGAAAATAAACAAATGAGATGGGAAATTTTTCATTTTAATATTTAGTTGCATAATAATTCTGCACACTAATAGTTGCCCAATAATTGTGCACACATAGGTATTCTCCTAAGAAAGCTAAAACCTCACTTTTACTTTCTTAAATAATCCGGTTTGAGGTTTATTAACATTTTGGATGGACTGATAGCACTGTAGTTCAATAATGAAATTAATCCTCAAAAATACAACTTGCCTAATGTGCACACAGTGTATATAACATAACTTTTATATTTACCTGACTATATAAAATACAATTGTATGTTTTCTTTATGAGATATATATATATATATATATATTATCAGAGACCTTAGAGTTTAAAATGGCTGTCATTGCAATTTTTTCATGTCACACTGTATTTGTGCAGTAATTTTTCAAACGCAATTTTTTGGGGAAAAATAAACTTTAAAGAATTTTAATGTGAAAAAACACAATATATAACCCAATTTTTTGGCAAAATCTAAAAGATGGTGTTACACCGAGTAAATAGATAACATATGTCACGTTTTCAAATTGCACACACTCGTGGAATGGCGCCAAACTACGGTATTTTTAAGATTTTTAAATCTCCGTAGGTGACACTTTAAACATTTTTACAGGTTACCAGTTTACATGTGTGGTTCAAACGCCATTTACATATGCAGGCACGAACTACTTATGTGTTTGCTTCTGCACACGAGCACGAGATCATGGGGCACTTTAAAGAAATCTTTTTTGTTTTGTTTTTTTTTTTGTTTTTTTTTACATTTCCCCTTTATTTTTTTTATCACGTGTATTCCTATTACAAGGAATGTAAACATCCCTTGTAATAGGAATAAGGCATGACAGGTCCTCCTTATAGAGAGATCTAGGGTTTATAAGACCACAATTCTCTCCTTTATACTGGAAAGCATGAAATAAAAAAAAAAAAAAAATGATCTCTGCTTTCCAGCAAAAAAATGGCAGTGTTTACATCTGCCCGAGCCAGAAGTGACGTCTGGACATCGCTTCTGGCCTCCCAGGATCATAGAGACAGCCTGAGACAATCTGGTCCTTGGCAGGCTCTATGGTAAACCACCGGCCGGAACACTTCTCTGGCTCCCCAATCACATAGGAGAGCATGGAGAAGCCCCTTTGGGCAGCGGGGCATCCCTTCCTGCCACCTGTAAAAGCACACAGGAGGGAATCGCCGGCTTAAAAAAAAAAAAGATATCTGGATGATATTGTAGCTGCAAGCATCATCCAGACATCTCCACTGAAACCTGAGGGCATCATAAAACGTCCGACTGGCGGAAAGTGGTTAATCCAAATGAAACAAACAGCAGTGCTCTAATCTTCATTCTCCACATATAAAACGGTAACTGTCACTTTGTGGGATGCAGCCCTCTAAAGATGGGAGAGTCTTGATGCTAGCAAAAGAAAAACACAAAAGGGCGACTCTCCTTGTGCATTACCATAGTTGCAAATGAATTTATTAAAACCGTAACAATTGGATACTCACAAAACTAATGTAAAAAACAAACATGAAGCCAAATGGGTCAATGTCACACAACTGAAGCCCTGTGATGATGGTGCCTGTTGGGAAAACTGACGTGTTTCGAGAGTCAAACTCCTTTTTTCAAATCTGATAGAGAATGCCCATGCCACATATATAGGGAGAATAACCACACCCCCTCCATAGAAAATAGCCCCAATACTGGGTCCTAAAGCTATTTTCTGCATGTGTCACTTCCATGAATTAAATGAATGGAAATAAATGATTCATTTAATTCATGGAAGTGACACATGTAGCAAACAGCTTTAGGACCCAGCAGTGGGGCTATTTTCCATGGAGGGGGTGTGGTGATGATTTCAATTAGTTATTCTGCCTATATATGTGGCATGGACATTCTCTATCATCTTAGCTTTGAAAAAGGGAGTTCAACTCCCGAAATGCGTCAGCTTTCCCACCGGGCACCATCATCACAGGACTTCAGTTGTGTGACATTGACCCATTTGGCTTCATGTTCGTTTTTTTTTACATTAGTTTTTGTGAGTATCCATTTGTCACGTTTTTAATAAATTCATTTGCAACTACGGTACTGCACAAGGAGAGTGTGCCCTTTCGTGGTTTTTTTTCTTTTGGAAAGTGGTTAGTAACTGCAGAATATACAGTATATCTAATAAAACAACAATACTAATTGAGGCGGTAGTAAATTCCGTTTTGTGACTTTCACCTACAGGTAAGATTTTAATGAATATCTCCTAAACATGCACAGTTTAGGAGATATTCCCTTGTTTGACATCTGGTGTGGTCACCAGTGCATGCACTCTGAAAGACTGGCATACTCATGTTGTCCCTTCAGAGCTCTATGCCACTGCTGTGACACGCAGGAATGACATCATGGCGGCTACGCCATTCAAACAGCCAGGGCCCACAAACCCAGAAGGAAGACTGGGTGAAGGTGGAAGCCCTGTCAGCGGTGACAGCACACCGCTGGAGGGCTTCACTTCAAGGTAAGTCTTTCATAATATGCTAGTATGCGATGCATACACATTACTATATTACCTTGTTGGGGGACTGGACTTTTTTTTTTCTTTTTTTTTTTAATAATTACTTTACTACCGCTTTAATTCCAATTAATGGCTGTGGCAGGCAGAAGGAACCGTGGTTCTGAAATCTGTTAAGGTTTGTGAAATGTGAAAAGCCAGTGGAAGTTTCAAGTGATATTTATCCAAAATTGAAATAATTTTAATTGAATGATTTCTAGATTAATGTAATGATTCTTCCATATTTTAAAGTAGTATACATTTATGGGTTACACACACTTTTAAACAGACCTGTCTAACTTAGTAGATGTTCTGAGACACATTGTTGAGACTACTATGACAAAGGTTTTGGTTAAAATGCTTTGGGATATACTTGCAGTGTTTGTATTCTTTGTACAGAATCACAATCTAACCATTCCAACCAATCAGACAGCGGACTTTCTGACTCCCTCGCCTCCTGCCACGTCCGTTCCCAGAGTATTGTGAGCTCCATCTTCTCGGAAGCCTGGAAGAGAGGGACCCAGCTGGAGGAGTCCAGCAAGGTAGCAGCACCTGCACAGTACTTGCCTATGTAAAGAATGTAGGCATGAGCAGCTGGGCTGCATGAATAGCAGGCTGCTGGTTTCTTCACTTATTTCCTGTACCCCATACCTGATTTCCCATCCCATTATACAGACCAATGTGTAGCATTCCTCATTTCTGAACAAAGCCATCTCCATGATGTTTTCACAAGACCATTCCATTGGGCAAGTTTTGAGTCCATAGCTAAGAGACATGTGTAACAAAAAAAAAGAATTTGACCCTTTTATATATTTGCTACATTTCCTTTATTGCATGGGAAATCATAATGAATGGGGTCGGAATATACACTTTTGCATCATTTTGCTTTTCTGTCGCCACGCATTTATTTCACTGCTCGTGTTTCTCCTGTTGCCTCATTGTCCCAGGTACCAAATGCGATGCCCACCACTGCTAAGGCCATCAAGCCCACAGCGATTTGTACGGGGCAGTATTAAGGTCAGGGGTCATATGAAAAGCACCTTTTAACCTGGATGTTGTTAACTGGAATCCTCCAGACTAACTTTCTACAGAACCCTTAATCTTTTCTTAAAAACATGAACGTATCTTAACATAAACACCCTATGGCTTCTGTTTGGTTAACTTTTTCCATATACAAAAAACATTGGGCCTTTTTTGTGTGAAAATTATATACAGTGGAGGTATGCTAAAATCGTAACTGAAAGATATCTTAATGTGGTCATGAAGCCTAATGTATTCCCAAACTATTCTTCATCTCCTCACTGTCTGTTCTACACTGTGCTGATACATACATATCAGCTATTCTCTACTCCCTTCTGAAATCAATCCGCATGGGACACTCTTTTCAGAGGTAGTAGAGCAGTGGCTGCCAGACATTCAGGAGGCAGTGGAAAATTAGGAAAATAGCATTTTCAGGAGGTTAGCTGGCAGACATCATTTAAAGTGTCAAAAAAAGTATGGGCACCTCGACCCCTGAAAATGCAAGTTGGCTGATTGCATTACTTTTGAGTCACAAACCTGGAAAAAGCAAGCTGTAAGGAGTGTCGCAATTCCTTAACTTTATTATCCCTAAACTAGTGCCAGGTCAATGACTCAGAAGGCATTGAAGCCATAGCATCAGCATGACACCCAGCATTCTCAAAACAGAATTTAGCAATGGCAGCCTCTATGCTTTTTTTAATGACAGGGTCAGCAGCCATACTTTGTCACTTTAAAAGGCAATTCCACTTTGTATAAATGTCAGCGGGTTGAATCACACCCTGGCTACTTCGGATTACAAGCAGTGAAATTTGCCCATGCATTGGGGTTGATTTACCAAGGGTCCATTCACACCAGCCAGTGTGTTACAATGCAGTGGCTGGTGGGAAGTGGTGTAATTATAGCAGTGATTTTTTCCTATAATTAACTTTATTAAAATGTCACACAGTTCCATTGACATTCCATTGTGCTAATGGTGGATTGCCTTGCATCCTGCTGACCCCCCATCCCCCCTTCCCCCCCCCCCCCCCCGCCAGGGTAACACAATAACTCCGCGGGAGGGATTGCCCTATCAACACTGACTTTGTTGATGGGGGAATCAAGTGATTCTCTTTCCTTCAACTAGTGGTTGCAGGAAAGAAAATTGCATCCTCTGTGGCCACATTTAGTATGTAATACATATGAATTTTGGAAGTGATTATTTTACACCCATATTGAAGCACCACTAGACAGAAAAAGGGCACCGTTCCAGCATCCAGGCAGGTAATAAAATATCAAGTGCAAGCTATTCATTTACAAAGGACTTTGTCAATAGAAGTGAAATCTATTTATTTCATAAGGATTTCCTTATGTATTAAATAAGGAAATAATGGGTCCAGAGAGGTAGTTGGGTTATACTGGGACACAAGGGGCAGTCTCATCTTTGTAACAGATTGATGAAATACTGCATCTTTTCTTGGGAACTTCTGTTGCAGTATAGGGAAATAAGCTATGTTCTGCCTAACTTGCCCGCTCTACTTTGACTCTACTGCATTATCACTTTTGTCCCTGTGTTACTATCCTTTCTCAGAAACTGCCTTTTTTGTCATACCCTTATGCTACATCATATGTTTTGAAAGTCATTCATGTTTCTTTTTTGTAATCTGTCTTACCCTGGACATTGGGATTCATGACTGAAAATGGGAACTGTTAATTGTTGCATCTATTTAAAACAATTACCCGCAGCTTTTTTTTTTTTTTTTTTTTTTTTTATGAAGGTGGACTTTGTGTGTAAATGTGTATTTCAAGGTTTTCCTCAGTGTTCTGTGTTTTTGTCTGACTGCTTCCTGTCCTTCGAGCACCAGTTTTTTATGTTGTGATTTTCACTTGTGTTTATAGAATTATTATATTATATGGTTATATTCATGTTTTTTCTGTTTGTGTTTTTTTTTTATATTTATTTGTAGGCTCGGATTGAGACTCTAAATCGACCCCTAACATCACTGACTCCACAATCGCACATCCAGATTAAAGCCATTTCTCCTCAAGCTGCATCTCAGCCATCACCACTGGCACCACCTCCGCCTCCACCCCCTCCACCTCCACCGCCGCCTCCACCCCCCCCTCCCCCACTTCCCACCCAGTCTAAGTCTGCTCCTATATTGTTTGCAAAGTATAGTACCATTACAAGGTTGCAAAATGCTGCTCAGTACCCTGGGCCAACCTTCAAAGCACCTTCAGCAAGCCAAACTAGTCAACACAGCACAGTTGCTGCAAAACCACATGTGTTAGTAACTCCAAATGGAGCAATCCCTCCACCACCACCACCACCTCCTCCTCCTCCACCCCCCCCTCCTGGATCTGCCATGGCAATGCTAAAACCAAACCCGTGTGCACCATCCATGCCCCAATTTACACCACCTCCACCTCCTCTCAAAATTCATCAGGTCCAACAAAATAACACAGTCCAGTCTGCACAGCCTCCTCCACCTCCCCCATCGCCGCCACCACCTCCTCCACCACCACCCCCACCTCCTCCACCATCATTCCAAGCTCCAAACAAGCAGTTTGTCCCTGTTGCTAAAACTGCAGTACTTGCTGCTAGTCCAACAAGCACTGTTGCCACAGGACCACCTACAGTACAGCAGCTACACTTCACACTTTCCCAGACTCAACAGCCTGTTTCAGCCCCAACAGTTCCATCTGGCCCAACACCACCTCCAACGTTACCTAAACAACAAAGCTTTTCTGCCAAGCTTCCTTCTTCTCCACAGTCAGCCATGCCCTCTGTTAAGCAAATTGCCAGTCAATTCCCACAAATATCTCTTTCAGATTCCCAGGCACCTAAGCCAGCAACTCCAAGTACTGCTCCCCAGTCTCCCCCAGCTGTTAAAGCAAAACCAAAATGGCAGCCATTTTCGGTTCCATCACCTGAATTCCCTCCTCCTCCCCCTGAGAGTAGCTTAGATTTGTTGCCTCCACCTCCACCACCACCACCACCACCACCTTCAACATCACCTGTGCCGCCACCTTCTCCAACACCAGACAAAACAGGCTCTCCTGCTAAAAAATCTAGCAAGACATCAAGTCCTGGTGGCAAAAAGCCACCTCCTACTCCACAGCGAAACTCTAGCATTAAATCTAATAGTTCTGCGGAATACTATGAATCAAAGAAGTCCTCTGTGGACAGCCTTGTTAGCAAATTTGAGGAATCACCTGGATCTCCATCTAAGGAATCGACACAACCACCTGCAGCTCCACCAAAGCCAGTTAAACTTAACCTCTCTGGAGTAAACTTGCCTATGGCCTTTCAGCAAGGAAACCTTTCTGCTCAGATGTTGCCTTCAGCAAAAGAAACCACTATGGAGTTTCCATCTCCGCCATCCGATTCAGAATCTGATTTTCCACCTCCACCAGCAGATCTTGAGCTTCTTCCACCTCCACCTCCACCCCCAGATGGCCCTCCTGCTCTGTTTTCTGGCAGCACCTCTCCAAAAGTCGCTGTGGTGAACCCACAACCTCAGACATGGTCAAAATCATCTGTCAAGAAGGCCCCACCCCCCTACAAGACCAAAACGAAATGACAGCATGAGGCTAATGCAAGCTGAAGTAACAGAACCTTCTCCCATCAGTCCTCAAGTACCAACTTCACCGAAGCCTAGCCTAAGTGTACAGCCAGAGTTTCTTGCTGACCTTAATAAGACTCTGCAGCGAAAGTCTATTACAAGACATAGTTCATTGTCCTCAGCACGTTTATCCAGACCAGAACCCACTGCCACAATGGATGATATGGTACTGCCTCCACCACCACCAGAACTATTAGGAGACCATAAAAAACCAAACTGCTATGGTGGCAGCCATTTATCAGGCTATGCAACGTTACGAAGGGGACCACCACCTGCCCCACCTAAAAGAGACCAGAATACCAAACTTTCTAGAGATTGGTAATCAATTAACAACTTTTTGTCTAGTTACAAACTTTGAAAACTAATGTACTATGAATTTAGGATCCTTGTGTCATAATATTCACTCAAGAAATGCAGCTTGGGATAAGGGTCATTGTGCACTTCATACGCCTCCTGTTCAGCAGAAACAATTTCTGGAGATCCATCACTAGTTCCCAGTGTGGACAGGACCAAAAGTTCATATTCATATTCTACATATAAAGAAACCTTTTTGTAGTGTATGTTGGTGTGCAGTGTGTCTGCATGTATTCCTACAATAGGCATATAATTCTGTAATTAATAATATAGCAGATGTACAATAAAAGATAACAAGAATGTTTTATCTCACTCTGTCTGGATTGACTTAGAAAAGTTTCTAAAACTTGATAAAGTAGATGTTCTACTATTTAAGTCACCCACATCAATATGACTTGAAGTGAATCTATGAGCTGTTTTAAACAGGCCTAAACAAGTCTATTTATAAATGTTTTCACACAACTTCCACCAAGATCCACAAAGTTTTCCACTTGAATCCAGTTAGAAAATGTGTGAATCTTCTGTGAATACGTTAATAAATAAAGCCTAAAGGGTGTTTGCTATTACCGTTATAGCCAGTAAACTTGTGCACGTCTTGATTTTGTTTCCCCTTTTATAAACACCTTTGATTTCCTAATGTTTTCTCTGCCCTACCCATCTGCATGCTATCCCATAAGAATGTTCTTGATGGCACCTGAAATGCATTAATTAGACAAGTGGAGTACAGCTGGACACAGCTTCGTCCAGATGTCCGGAAGCTTCTAGTATCAAACTGAAGCTAAATCAGAGGTCTGTACGGTGGAGGGGTTTCTGGCTATTAGAGGAAATGGCAAATGCCTTGTGGTATATACGTTATAAGTAAAACTTTTAAAGTCAAATGTGTAAGATACAGTGCCTTGCAAAAGTACCCCTTGAAATTTTCCAAATTTTGTCATATTACAACCAAAAAATATAAATGTATTTTATGTGATAGATCAACACAAAGTGGCACATAATTGTGAAGTTTGAAGGAAAATGATAAATGGTTTTCAAAATTTTTGACAAATATGTGAAAAGTGTGGTGTGCATTTGTATTCAGCTCCCCTGAGCCAATACTTTTGTAGAACCACCTTTTGCTGCAATTACAGCTGCAAATCTTTTTGTCTCTACCATTTTGTCTCTACCCATTCTTCTTTGCAGATAGCTCAAGCTCTGGCAGATTGGATGGAGAGCATCTGTGAACAGCAATTTTCAAGTCTTGCCACAGATTTTCAATTGGATTTAGGTCTAGACTAGACCATTCTGACACATGAATATGCTTTGATCTAAACCAGGGGTGGGCAACTGTGGCCCTCCAGCTGTTGGTGAACTACAAGTCCCATTATGCCTCTGCCTTTGGGAGTCATGCTTGTAGCTGTCAGTTTTGAAATGCCTCATGGGAAATATGGTTCTACAACAGCTGGAGGGCCACAGTTGCCCACCCCTGATCTAAACCATTCCATTGTAGCTGTTTGTATCTGAAACGTGTTGTGTGCATATGTATTCAGCCCCCCTTGATACCCTTAACTAAAATCTAGTGGAACCAATTGCCTTCAGAAGTCACCTAATTAGTACCGTATTTGCCGGCGTATAAGACGACTTTTTGAACCTTGAAAATCTTCTCAAAAGTCGGGGGTCGTCTTATACGCCGGTACACGTCAGGGGGCACTTTTTAGGGGGGCGGCGCGGTGCCGCCCCCCCCCCCCCCTTCCGACGGAAGGGACACCAAGTACAGGGGTGGGCAGAGGGCTGCAGTCTCTTACCTGGCTCCCACGACGATCCATCCAGGAAGCGCTGCTCCTTCAATCACTCCGGCCACTCCTGCCGCTCGGCTCCGCCTCCTCGCCGGTGATTGCCCGCCAGAACTGTAGCTCAGGAAAGGCACACAGGTGGCCAATCACGGGCGAGGAGGCGGAGCCGAGCGGACCCGCAAAAATCGAGTGAGGGTAAGTGTGCAGTGCAGAGGTGCTGCTGCAACCACATATGCTGGCTGCAGCAGTACCATACTAGAACAGGAGTCAGCAAGTGTCATTGGTGTCAGTGGGAGGAATAGTGCCCCATCATTGGTGTCACTGATACTAATGATGGGGCATTATTCCTCCCACTGACACCAATGATGGGACACTATTCCTAATACTGACACCAATGATGGGGCACTATTCCTCCCCCCACTGACACCAACGATGGGGCACTATTCCTCCCCCCACTGACGGAGTACTATTCCTCCCACTGACACCAATGTTGGGACACTATTCCTCCCACTGACACCAATGATGGTGCACTATTACTCCCACTGACACCAATGATGGTGCACTATTACTCCCACTGACACCAATGTTGGGGCACTATTCCTCCCACTGACACCAATGTTGGGGCACTATTCCTCCCACTGACACCAATGTTGGGACGCTATTCCTCCCACGGACACCAATGATGGGGTGCTATTCCTGCCACTGACACCATTGATGGGGCACGATTCGTTGCTCTGACACCAATGATGGGGCACTATTCCTCCCACTGACACCAATGATGGGGCACTATTCCTCCCACGGACACCAATGATGGGGCACTATTCCTCCTACTGACACTAATGATGGGACACTATTCCTCACACACTGACACTAATGATGGGGCACCATCATTGGTGTCAATGGGAGGAATAGTGCCCCATCATTGGTGTCAGAGCGAGGAAGCGTGCCCCATCATTGGAATACCATGCCATATTGAAATCAAATCTGATGTTTTTTAATTTTTGGTGTGCGTTGGAAGAGGGGTAGTCTTATACGGCGAGTATAGCCCAAACCCTATATTTTAACAGGAAAAGTAGGGGGTCGTCTTATACGCCCAGTCGTCTTATACGCCGGAAAATACAGTAAATAGAGTGTGTAATTTAATCTCCGTATAAATACAGCTGTTTTGTGAAGCCCTCAGAGGTTTGACAGAGAACAATAGTGAAAAGCATCATGAAGGCCCGAGGAACACATCAGACAGGTCAGGTATAAAGTTGTGGAGAAGTTTAAAGCAGGGTTAGGTTATAAAAAAAAAAATCCCAAGGTTTAAACATCTCACGTAGCACTGTTCACTCCACCATCTGAAAATAGAGTATTGCACAACTGCAAACCTACCAAGACATGGCCATGC